ATTTTTGTCTGTTACTTTTCTCCTCTGCTCTTCACTAGTCCAGTTACCACAGCCATCATCCAAAGAGGAACTCTGAGAAAAGGCTGTGTTCTGGTTGCAGGGAAGACTTGGGCAAAAGTGCGTTTCATGTTTGATGAGAATGGCAAAGCTGTAGATGTAGCCTCCCCAGGCATCCCAGTGGAAATCATGGGCTGGAAGGAAGTCCCTTCGGCAGGAGATGAAATCCTTGAAGTAGGATCTGAGGTACAGATAGAACTGTTCAGTGAAAAATTCATACTGCAGTATGGATGGGAGGGAGCCGAATAAAAAAAAATGTGTATAGCTTTCATTCTAAATAATGTGGATGATCTGATGAAAGGTGAAGGCTGAGCATGAGTATTAAGAGACCTGAGTTCTCTCCTTATCTCCATGCATCCAGATGAACCTGCTTCACATCACATGAAGAAAGCAGGCTGCCTCTGGAATTAAAAGACGAGTCACATTTGGTTCATGCTTTAGCCTTGGTCATCTTGCCTTCCTCCATGCTTTTTGTGCAGTGACTGTTGTCCTGAATGGCTTCTGCTGGGGTAGTCTGGGGCATGTTCTAACATGCTCCCTTTCTAAAGGCACAGAAGACCTTTTTTATATGATCACACTATCACCTTATCTGGAGAACAGTACTTAATTGTATTAATGTTTTAATTTTAGAATGAGAGACATTGTTTCTGCTAACTAATATGTGTAAAACATAGCTTGAAATAGGTGTTGTGAGAGGTGGGCAAATATCGCATGAAAGAATGAATAATTTATTCTCTTCTGCAGTCTCAAAAATAGGCCTTAAGTCATGTTTTTGTAGCTCGAGGAGGAAGCTATCATGCTCACTCTTTTCCATCCTTGCAGCAAAACCTGTTGTTAAATGTGAAAGAAAATGAGTGAGCCTGTGGAGAAGATGCAGAAGGATGAAACTGCATTAATGTGGAGTTTTGCAATGCAATGCTTTGTAAGGTAATGTTTCTGTCTCTTCCTGCCCAGCAAAGGGCACATGAAGTTGTGGCTTGGAGAACCTATGTTGAACAACAGGAGAAGATGAAAAAGGATATGGAAGTTATTGAAGCAAAACAAATGGAACACAGGATGGAATATGAGAAGCAGCAGCAGAAGCTAGCCCATCTCAGCTGGAGACAGAGGAAGGCAGTGCTGTACAAGGCCAATAAGCATCTCGTGTTTTCAAAGCCTAAAGAGAGAACAGAGATGGACAAAAATGTGCTGTCAGTAATTGTTAAAGGTGCTGTCCTATTCTGTTTACTGCTCCATTGTTCCTGTGCTTCTCAAATACTCAGTCTGAAGCATAGCTCTAAACTATTAAAAAAGTTTCTGTTACCAGAAGTTTGATCATTTTAGATTGGAACAGATTATTGGACTTCTCTCAGTAAGAGGAGGGCCATCAGAAAACATCCAGGGGTCAGAAGGATGCATTTCCAGCAGAGCCTGAGTAACAAAAAAATTTGATCCCAACCCCTTTACCTGGGAATTCCTGATTAAAACCCATGCAAGTGCCTATATATATATATGTAAATTAAAAAAAAAAAACCTATTAAAAAACACAAGTTGTATAAACAGCAGCACTGCATCAGAAAATGGAGGACAAGAACAATCATGTATTAGGTAAAGTGGGACAGGAGGAATCTGGTTTAACCTCGCATTTAGTGATCTACAAGCAGTGATGGTAGTAGCTGAAAAACTATGCAAAATTGACCTGAAAATGACAGTGAATGTGGAGCATCTCTTCCTATTTTATTTATTCCACTCATTTTTGGAATTAATAGATTTGTTAGATGTGTTTTAACATATTATGGAAAATACAGTAAGAATGATAATATGTCAAAAGACTTCATGTTGCATAGTGTGCAGTTGTCATACTTTTTTTGGATGTACACAAAGTCAGCAGTACTTCCATATATACACACAGGTGATGTGGATGGATCTGTTGAAGCTATTCTGAACATTCTGGAGAGCTATGATGCTGACGATGAATGTAAATTGGATATCATTCATTTTGGAATGGGAGATATCAGTGAAACTGATATAAGTCTTGCTGAAACATTTAATGGTGAGTGTGTGTTTAAAAATCAATTTACAAATAGTACAAACTCTCTGCTGAAATGGGTAGATTTCATTCTGGTTTTGTTTTCTCAGTAATAAGGTAAACTTACATGTGTCCTTAACAGTAGTGCAGGTGGTGAAGGCTAGATATCTCATGAAAATGGAAGGACTCGGACAAGCTCTTGCCAGTCCTTGAATTGTTAAGATTAAACTCTTGACTCCTCACTCGGGTTGCTTTATGATGCTTAAGCAGGACAAAGCCAGAGAAGTAGTGTAGGAAAGGATTTCCTCTTGCTCAGAGAGGTAATTGGAAAGTCTGTCCCATTGTTCCTATTTGTACACTGTAATTCTCACCTGTTCTAGAGGTTGTGGGGTCGTAGGACCTCCCGTGGACCACAGATGGTTAAGAGTGATTTAGAGTTCACTTCCAGCTTAACTGGGACAACTAAGCTCTTTTTGCAGACTGAAAATGGGGAGTCCTTGGCCTTTTACATGAGCTCTGATGTGTAAACTTTAGTTTGTACTTGAGTATCTCCAGTTCTGTCATCAGGGAACTTTCTGTGAAGGCTTGAGCCATTTGTTTTGATTCAAGGTTAGGAGCAGTTGATGTGCAATAGTGGGAGAAGTAAATGGTTTCTCCTTAAAAGGGAAGCAGTAGTAAATTTTTTGTATTGCTGGCTGCTAATGCTACCCTTCGCTGCAAGTCCAACATTACAGAATAGAGACAGTAGATGCTTTTGCTTACTGTTTAAAAAAGTTATCTCTTGTAGTCAGCAGTTGCCGATTCTTTGGGTTTTTTTTATCAGGTGTTGTGTTTGGATTCGGTGTGAAAGCCAATGAAAGTATTAAGCAGCTGGCTGCTAAAAAGGGAATAAAAATTAAGCTTCACAATATAATCTACAAACTTATTGAAGACTTGAAAGATGAACTAAATAGCAGACTACCCCCCTCTGTGGTGGAGAATACAATAGGTGAGTTTTCATTGACTGTTAAACTTTTACTTTGTAATGTGGCCTTAAGTTTATTCTCCAATGAGGTGTTCCTATTGTAGCAGATATTAGATATTCCTCTGTAGCTGCTTTCCCTTTTGTTATAAAGCTTAAGTGGGAGAGCATAGCTTGCTTTTACTTATTGGCAGTTTGTTACTCTTGTGTATTTCATACAACTTTTTTCTTTTAGGGGAAGCTTCTGTTCTTGACACCTTCTCTGTAACAGTAGGAAAAAACAAAATTCCAGTAGCTGGATGCAGAGTACAGAAGGGGCTGCTAGACAAAAAAATGAAATTTAAGTTAATCCGCAATAGGGATGTTATTTGGAAAGGTAAGTGTAATTGCCACAAAACCTGTATTCGCATTCACTATTAGACACTGCTAGTTCCCTGTGAAGTTAGTGCAAAATGTACGTGTCCAATCATAGGGCAATCCTATTATCCCCTAAATATGCTATTTAGGATAGAATTGCTCCAACTAGAGAAAAGCTGCAAAATGCCACTGTTATCCAGACCCTTTTCTAGCAACCTAGTCTGGTAGGGAAGCAGTATCACCATGGGATATACCTGTTGAAAAGGACTGATGTCTGACTTTTGTTAGCTGCAAGGGCTCACAATCCCTGCATTACCTTCCTTTGATTTTGGAAGGTGAAACACTAGTTCTGGAAGAACGGCAAACTACTTCTATGTCTCTTTAGTTTGCAGAAGAGGAGACTGAGGGGAGACCTCATTCATGTTTATAAATATATAAAGGGTGAGTGTCACGAGGATGGAGCCAGGCTCTTCTCGGTGACAAACAATGATAAGACAAGGGGTAACGGACACAAACTGGAACACAGGAGGTTCCACTTAAATTTGAGAAGAAACTTCTTCTCAGTGAGGGTAACAGAGCACTGGAACAGGCTGCCCAGAGAGGTTGTGGAGTCTCCTTCTCTGGAGACGTTCAAAACCCGCTTGGATGCCTTCCTGTGTAACCTCATCTAGGCGTTCCTGCTCCGGCAGAGGGATTGGACTAGATGATCTTTTGAGGTCCCTTCCAATCCCTAACATTCTGTGATTCTGTGATTTTCTCTTTATAGGATCTCTTTCATCACTGAAGCATCATAAAGACGATGTCCAGGTAATAAAAATGGGTATGGACTGTGGATTGAGTTTGGACAAGCATATAGAATTCAGTATTGGAGATGAAATTCTCTGTTATGAAGAAAAAGAAGTTCAGCAGACAACTTCCTGGGATCCAGGGTTTTAAAATACCTTTAAATATGTTAACACTAAAAGACATGTATTATTCCTGGCTGACCTTCAACTTAATATTAAATGAACTTTTAAGAGATGCACATGAACTTTTGTTATATGAATACCAGATACAATGTCCTGCTTTAAAATCCTGCCAAGCAACTAGCTTACCTCATTGGAATATGGAATAAACTACAATTAATTCCAAGTACTTCAGGTGTCTAAAACCATCATGGTATAAATATTTCTGATGATTACTTACTGGTTCCAAAATAGCTGAGCTATCTTTTCTCCCTGTCAGTGCTGCTATACGTTGTGGTTTTTTTTCAGTCCAGAGCCTGCATTTTGTTAGCAGGACTCTTGCTACTCTCTAGCACTCCCTTGTAGACATGAGGTTGGACCTCTTGATCTCCTATTGTCCTGGATTAGAACTATTGTTCTATTTCGCTCATGAGGAGTCTCTGAAGAGATCACTCCTAAGGTTAGCTAGTGTTGTTGGTTTTTTTGGTGAGTTATTTTTTTTCCTTTGCCATTGCTTCCTATTATCTCCTTTGAAAGAGACTTAACTCACCAAAGCCACCCTTTTAACAGGCATTTCATCCTACTTTACAAAGTTTCACAGATTTTTCTCACTTAGCAGCAGAGAGGAAGTCAAAGAGCCGCAGGAAGCAAAAATAGATCCTTGAATTGTACAGAACTTCAGATTTTTATTGTTTAGTTAGTACATTTACTTGTCTTCCGGTTTATTGAAGCAGTATGTCAGACAGCACTTGCCACAATAATGTCTGTCGAAGTGACTAGCCATGAAGACTCCTGCTCCACACTCCTCAGAGGGGCACTCCCGGCGCAGACGACTGATCTTGCCGTTCTCATCCACCTGGGAAGGGCAAAGAGGCAACATTTTGTATATACTTGCCACCTTTTAGCACCAATGAGAATTATGAGTATTTTTTAATTTGGCAAAGTAGTTTTCCTGATAGTTCCTACATCAAACTTCTTGAAGCCAAGTTCAGAAGTGCCCAATTGCAAGAGTCAGTTTCTCTTCTATTTAACAGGTGAGGTGTTTGCAAATGGAAGGACTGTAAATATGCCAGGGTACCTGCAGACTTGTTACAGGCTTCATATCCTGTAACAAGTCCCTTCCTGGTGTGAGCTATGCTTTTACCAAGTTTTCCCTAGAGTTTGTTCTACGTACCTTGTAGTACTTAAGCACTGCAAGCTTAACCTTCTTTCTCTTATGCTTGTTCTTCTTGGGAGTAGTGTAAGACTTCTTCTTTCTTTTTTTGGCACCACCACGAAGTCTCAACACAAGGTGAAGAGTTGATTCCTATTTGTAAAACACATGAAATAGACTCAAAATGCTTTCTCAGAACCAGAGTAGCATTTCAGCAGGCTTTTTCTTTTATTTACAGACAGCAGATCTCACGCTTCTTGCAACTAGGAAAGCTTTAAAAGGACTTCTTGCAACTAGGAAAGCTTTAAAAGGACTTCTTGCTATTAAGTCTACAAATGAACAGGCTCCAGAGAACAGTGGGCTGCTGCATGCTTAACACCAAAAGCTTCTATTACTATAAAATATGTTGTGACTTTATTCCTTGGTTTTAACTGAGACAGTTTTAACAGTTTCATGATATTACTAAGCCAAACTCAAGTGCCACATCCTAGTGGCACTCATTGATCATACTGTGAGGCTCATCTGGCAGAAGCGAGCAGGATTTTTTACCTTAGCCCCCTAAAGCAGCTCAGCACAGCATCCCAAGCGCCAAGGTTGACAGCAGAGAAGCACTGGAAGAGGAAGCTGTCAGAAATGTTTTCTTCTGACCTGAAACTATAGACTGAGCTGCAGCAACTGTCACTTCTAGTCCTAGCATGAGTACTTCCCCAGTCAGAAGTGCCACCCAACCCTAAATCAGCTGATTTGGTTGACTCCCTTTGAAGCATTTCTTAAGCCCAGCAGCGTAGGTCAGTCTGCTCCTGCAGTGCCAGCTAGCTGGTACTGCAACACTCTGTTCAGCCTTTCCCACTCACTTTTTGAATATTGTAGTCAGATAGCGTGCGTCCATCTTCTAGCTGCTTTCCAGCAAAAATCAGTCGCTGCTGATCAGGAGGAATGCCTAATAGTGACACAAATAAACTAAATGAGGAACACGTGGTATGATATTCTGTAATAAGATAAGGTTACTGCAGACAATCACATCAGGGTACGCGAAGAGAATAGTAAGTGCTTACCTTCCTTATCCTGGATCTTGGCTTTTACATTTTCTATAGTATCAGAAGGCTCAACCTATTATGAAATAAAACACCAGGGTCAAAACGCACTTCCCCATCAATTTGCCCAGAAAAATGAAAGAACCACGAGGAGCTTCAGCCACACGACCGATGCTGCAACGGCCATTTCAGCCCTCACGGGGCAGCCAACTCTGGCCAGGCCCGGGCGCAAAGGCCCCGGGCAGGGTCCAGGCCCACGTTTCCCCGTGCATCCTGCTATTTCGAAATAAAACACCAGGGTCAAAACGCACTTCCCCATCAATTTGCCCAGAAAAATGAAAGAACCACGAGGAGCTTCAGCCACACGACCGATGCTGCAACGGCCATTTCAGCCCTCACGGGGCAGCCAACTCTGGCCAGGCCCGGGCGCAAAGGCCCCGGGCAGGGTCCAGGCCCACGTTTCCCCGTGCATCCTGCTATTTCGGTGCATCAGAAGGCACCGGCCGGCCCGGCC